CAGTCAGAGGACGGATAAAGCCTGCACTTCAACTTGTGATAGTTAAAGTCAGTAGAAATTCAGTCTCAGTAGAACACAACTGTTTCAAGACTTAAATCAATTACTTGAAACCTCTTCTGATGAGCTGGAAGGCTGAAACGCTTACATAAAACAAAAGATCTCACCTCTTATATGTTCTAATCACTACCTGGAGCAGGCCTTTAAACTGCCAGCAAAGATGCTATCGTTCCTTTATTATTCATTTTTCTTCTGCCCTAACTGCTTCTCCTGACTCAAACTTTTAAGGGCTCTTTCTCACCTTCACTCCTAACTGATGCCCTTACTTCCTATTTCGCTTAGAAGAGACTGTCACCTCTTGACCATCCTCTCCCCATATTGCCCCCACCCCTTCCCCAGTGGTAACCATCATTCTGCTTTCAACTTCTGTGAGATAAAACTCTTCCAGACTCCACATATGAGTGAGATCATGTGGTACTTGGCTTCCATGCCTGGCTACTTCACTTAACATAGTGATTTCCACTTCCGTCCACATGTTCACAAATGGAAGGATTTGCTTCTTTCTCGTGGCTGAATAGTGTTCCATTGTTTATTTGTACCTCTAGATATCTAGAAATGTCCGTTTTCCTAGCAGAAGTAACTTGATTACCTTCCTCTGTGGCTGCCCAGACTTTTCTAAGCATTTTTCTTCTCTGTCTACTCTACTACCAATTCTTCATTTTATACTGAATCTCTAAATTTTTCATATCCATATACTATTACTGTTGTTTTTCACTGCCAGGGGAAAAAAAGCATTTTATTCTCCACTTTTTCTGTCAGCAACAGCCCAATTTCTTTCCTTTTTCTGTAGCAAATTTTTCAAAGTTATAGTCACTGTCTCCAACTTCTCTCCTCTTACTTCTCACTTCTTATGTGTTGCTTGTTTTGTTTATGCAGTATTGGGGATAGAATGCAGGAGTGGTCTTTCACTGAGCTACACTCTCAGCCCTTTTTATTTTTTGAGACAGGGCCTCACTAAGTTACCCAGGCTAGCCTTGAATGTGTGGTCCTCTTGCCCCAGCCTTCCAAGTAGCTGGGATTACAGGTGTGCACCTAGCTCACTCTGTTTTAAATCTACTCCAAATGTTATCCTTACCACTCTTAAATTTGGTCCGCTCAACACTGCCAATAATCAAGTAGCAAAATCCACTGTAATTTCTCAATCTTCATGTTACTTGACCAAACTACACCATATGGCATGGGTTATTCTCTCTCCTCCTTAAAACATTTCCCACCCTCTCTCTCTCTCTCTTTCTCTTTTTTTTTTTTTTTTTTTCCATAAGGAACTCAGGGCACTGGGCCACTAAGCCATATCCCCATCCCATTTTGTATTTTTTTGTATTTTATTTAGAGATAGGGTCTCACTGAGTTGCTTAGCACCTCGCTTTTTCCTGGGGCTGGCTTTGAACTAAGGATCCTCCTGTCTCAGCTTCCCAAGCTGCTGAGATTAAAGGTATGTGCCACCACACCCAGCTCACATCCACTCTCTTGGTTTCTTTCTCCTTTGTGGTCATATTGTTGCAGGTTTCCTTATAAATTCCCTCTCCAATCTCTATCCTCTTTGCATCAGAATGCCTCTTTTCTAAATACACTGGAAGTCTTGGTGATGGCTTTGAATACTATCCATACATTGCCAACTCCCAAATATTTATCTCCTTCCCAAACCTCTTTGCAGACTTGTTGATCCAACTGCCCATTTATCATCTTCATTTGTATATCTGAATGACATCTTCCATCTTATATGGCCAACACTGAACACCAGCCTTAAAACCCTTGCCTTTCCTCCCCCAAATTCTTACCTCTATTGATGTCAACTACAGCCTTCCCTGCTTCACCCCCAACCGGGCATCATTCTTGGTGCCTCTTTGTCACTTACTCTCCACACTTAAACTATTGTTACCTACATCTGAGGCCTAGAGAAGCTAAGCAACTTGCCCATGTGTCCTCAGCTAGTGAGTGACTGCCAAGATTCAAATCCAGGACTAAAGCCTGTGCCAAATAGCGCACAACTTACCTTTAGTCTAGCTTGGATACCTGCCTGAAAATGAATCACCCAGACAACCAAAAAACTAAAGAAGAAATATGTGTAGTGCTTTCAAATGTTCCACAGATTCTTCCAGGAGTTGAGCTACAACTCTGAACTCACATATTGTCTACTATATTGTTTTCATGGACGGCAAAAGAATTATGTTCTACAATTTCGTCAGCACACTGACATAAGGACAATTTGTCCAAGATTTCATGGGGGATTATTTTTCTCTATTTTTATATAAAATTGCCAGATGCAAAACCTTCTTATCACATTACCTAGAATTCAGATGCAGATTTCCCAAAGCTGTTTCCAGAAGTGAGTGTCAAAGATATTCTGTGATCTTCCATCTCTGACCCATCTCTTTTCATGTGGCTTTCTAAGTGTGGCAACAATCAACAGATTCATAAAGTTTCAGGAAGACGCTGAGGACCCCCTTGGATTCTTTCTTCCCTCTGTAGTTCTCCAGTGTAAGGATGAACAGACCATCTCAAAGATGTTATCTGTCTAAACTGTTTTGATTCTTTGCCCTAGTGTTTTTGTTACACCCTCTACATGATGTCAGGACCTACCATTTTCAAGAAAAAAAGTAGGCTTGAGAAAGCCACTAAGTTCACTGAGTATAAACACTGCTTACAAGCATTACAATGGGCCAGTTCCTCTAAAAAGACTAATTCCAGAGAATTTAGTGGCCTCTCTAAAGTTTTTGCAGCATTTTGTTTTATTTGGTTTTTTTTCCCTCGTATTTAAGTGCATTTTGTTCTTAAATCCCAGTGTTTACCTTTGTGACTATTTAGGCTTTTAGAACACAGTTGCCTACATCTTTTATGATTGGCTATGAGCTATTAGGAGAATAAGTTTAGAGAACTCATTTTCATGACTCAGAATTCTTCCCGTATGATGTACTGCGAAGATTGGCAATATAGGTTTCTTACAATTTTTGAAATAAACCTAAAAATTTCTTCATTGCTCCTGTGAAAGAATTTGTCATCTCTATTTCTTTCTTACCCCGGAAAGGATGCCTTTCTGTTAAAGTCACAGCAGGCTAGCTGCTGTCCCTTACTTTCCCACATGACAAAGAATTTGGATTCAACAATTTCTTCAAGCTATTGCTATAATAAAATGAAAAAAAACCTCTCTCTTCCACTCTTTTCTTTAATTTCCCTGTCTTTAGTTGCCTCAAAGAATACCCTTGTCATGGTTGTTGTTCTCAGGGAAGATTTCTAAAATGCACTATAAACTTTCACCACAAACAGATTAAGAACATAAATTAGCCCAAATATGTTAGGATGTGTTTATTAAACAGCAAGCATAGAGGCAAAGAGAACTCCTAAAAAAAAAAAAAAAAAAAAATCTGTGACCATCAAATGACTGCAACTGAATTAATTGTCTCTGTCCCTCCACAGACCCACCCTCAAAACCATGGAGGGTTATAGTCTATTTCAAGTCTCCTAGCATCTTCATTCCCTTTGCTTCCATCCCCACAGTGGCATTATTAGAAGTATCTCTGTCGTTTGCTCATCTCTCTCTCCCTGGGCTTGCTTTAGCCTGCTGCTCACTGAAACCTGGAGCCAGAAGGAGAACCCCCTCCAAACAACTTCACAGAGAACCGCTGTTTTTCTGTGGCCCTGCTGGAGGTGATAGGCCATAGAGAGGTCATTACCTGCCTGTCATCTCCCTAGCTCTGTGTCTTTAAAGTCTCAAAAATCTGATCAGAGAGAGGCCAGTTCCTCTCCCTCCACCCCTACTGGCCCTGCAATTTCCTTTTCTATTTTTCTTAGATCAAGTTTTGAGACTGTCCTTGAAAGCTTCTCCGCAATATATATTTGTACTTCATCATATACACAGACTTTTTGTTTCTAGTGTTTTAAATTGGACATAGCAAATACAATGTCTGAGGGTAGTAAAGAAAATGGGAGAAGGTTTTATTCGTGCTAAATAATCAGATAACTATGAAAATCCTATTTTTATAACAGAGAAAAATGAAGAGAATTCCTATGATAAGTAATTCATGAAATAGAAGAAATAGAATAAAAAATCTGAATTAATATCATGGGGTAATAGATCAAGTTTAGAACTTAAGAAAATGTCACTCAAGCACCATATTCCTCCAGATGTATGACACAAAATCTACTGGGAAAAGCTCAGTTCAAGTCTTCACAGAGCCCAAGATCCCAACTACTTATTTTGATGTTCAACTTCTAAGAACTTCTCTCATCTCTAAAGTACTCTTCATGAGGAATTGCAGTCAGCACTGGTGACTGAAACTCAATGGAAGTCCTAGCCTCCCACAGGAGGGCTAGCTGAAGGCACTATATGTGTCTGCTGCAGCCACTATGACATTGGCACATGCTTTGGGATTACTACTGAGACTTCAAGTGTGAAGCAAGTGCTGTAACATGAGGAGACCAGAGCCAGTGGCTTGGGGCAAACCTAGCTGGCACTAACCCTGGGCATAGAAACTTCACTCGCCCCCTACACACACTGAGAATCTACTTTCTCATCAGAAGAGACATCGCTGCAGCACTGAATAAGGTCAGCATCTAATCTGTTTTCACAAGCAACACCATATGGCAGGAACAACACATTCTTCGAGAAAAAAAAACTAAACCAGTTGAAACAATATCATTTCTGTGCTGACATAATAATCATTGAAAATCTAGTGAAACCATGCTGCAGTTTGAATCTTCAATTCCAAAAGAATATGTCAGAATTTCCCCATAAACACAAAATGCCTTAAAATAATTTTTTCTTATAAATTAAACTATTATTTATGTTTATAATAACAGGATAAAAATTCCTAAATGAATATCAAATAAAAGGATAAATGTTATCTTATCTACAAATAAAACTTTTAGTTCCCATTCTCATGATTTCATGGTAACTTACCGATCTCTATAAAAGCCAAATCATAGCCAGGTGCAGTGGCACATACCTGTAATCCTGGTGACTTGGGAGGTTGAGGCAGGAGGACTGTAAGTTCAAAGCCAGCTTGGGCAACCTAGCAATATCCTGTCTCAAAATAAAAAATAAAAAGGGCTGAGTGTGTAACTCAGTAGTAAAGCATCCCTGGGATCAATCCCCACCAACACCCTCCAAAAATAAAAAAGCAACAAAAAGCCAAATCATAAATCAACTTCCCTATGTGGAAAAAATGCTAAGAGTCTAAATGATTTTCTTCACTGCATAGGATAGACAGAATAACAGAGTAACTTCTAAGGCATTACTTATTTTCAAATCTAAGCATTAAGCATGAAATTTATTAACTTATATATATAACTGTATTTGTTTCTTAGAGAGCTCCACCAAACTGGAGGCCTTATCTTGTTTTGGCACATAAGCACTTTCTACTTTTCACTTCGGTCCGGTCACAGGATCCTTTATAATACTGGGCATCACCACCCAATTAAGTACTAACTGTGGGAAATGTCATAAAGTTTCCTAATCTGGGATGATCTAAGTGCTTAATCAACTAATATGCAGTAGCTGTTCACTTTGGAATTTACTTGGGGACAGTACTGGACCATTGGGCCAGATCTTAAGTTAGGATTCCACAGCATCAGTGTAAGTTGCCAACACAAAGTACTACCAATTGTGCTACTTGCTCCCTCCTTTTCACTGGCTTTCTTGCTTAAGGTTCCTAAACAGGCATCTGTGTCAAACACTGACACCAATTCATGTAAGATGGGCAAAAAGAATCACTTTTTATTTCCCGTGACTGGAATGTGGAGTAACATATATGAGGTAACAAAGCTATGTATGTATGTAGCTCTGAGGAGAAGACGGGTGCCCACTAAAGCTGTATACCCATGAGAGCTGAATGTAAACCACTGAACAGAATATACCCAAGAATCAACACCCAGCATAGTGAAGCATAACAATTATTATTTAATATGGAAATAACATACCAGTGAAGTCTGGCAGACACAACCTTAACCAAGGTTAAGGTTATCCAAGGTTAAGATCACCAGAGATAAGTCACATTAATGCCATGTGATCCCTCAAATGATGCAATTGGAAGAAAGCCTCACCTTGTGGCATTCTTTGCAAAAGTCCTTAACCCCAGTGTTATCATAAGAAAATATCAGATAAATCCAAAATGAGAGACATTCTGCAAAATGACTGACCAGAACTCTTTAAAATCTCAAGGTCATGAAAGGCAAGGAAAGATCAAGTACCTGTTACAGATTGGAAAAGAATAAGAAGATATGACAATTAAATGTAAACAGGATATCCTGAGCCAGCCATGGACAGAAAGAAGACTTTAGTGGAAAAATTGGTAAAATACAAATATACTCTGAAGTTTGATTAGCAATACTGTACCAATGTTAATTATTTCTTAGGCAAGTATACTGAGCTTATGTAAGATAAAAATTAGGCAATGCTGGATGATGGGTATTCAGAAACCCATTCTTCTATCTTTGTAAACTTTCAGCAAATATAAAACTATTCCAAAATAAAAACATTCTTCAAAAATACTATTAAAATGTAATTAAAATGCCAGCTACAGACCAAGAAACAGAATTGTTATTTCCTAAGATTCATGGAAGAAGATGTTGCCAATTTGGTAGAAAAGACTCTCATTGTTTCTTTCTTCCTTGAAGATAGTTGTATGTAATTTAGTGAACCCACCAAAATTCCAGCAGTATAACTTTAAGTTTTATAACTGGACTAAAACTAAGCATAAAAGTTCGGGTAAAATAAAATTTCAAATTTCAAATTTTTTGAGAACCACAGTTGTCTGCCTAGATTCTTAATCCTTCAGCATACTTTACATAAAGAAAACAATGGTTATCTTTAGTTACTTTCTCCTAGTAAAACCAATATTTCCTTTCCTTATATAATTTTTTATTTTTATTTTTATTTATTTATTTTACTGAGTCTTACTATGTTGACCAAATTGGCTTTAAACTGGTGCTTTTCCTGCCTCAATCACTCAAGTAGCTGGGATTTTAGGCATACACCACAGTACTAAGCTCTCCATATAGACATTTTTAATAGAGCATCAAATTCAATGAGGTACATTTTACTACTAAGAACTATTAGTCTAGCTTTCAAACTGAATGTTTAGTATGTTTTCTATGATAGCATGACACCATTTTTTTGAAATTGAGTGTATTTGAGTCTAGGGAGAGTGATCTAAGAAGACCCATATCCACAGTGGTATGGCAGAGACAGCAGCTGACCTCCAAAGATCCATGTTCTCTCTGTGGACTCCAAAGTTCCTGCTGGGAAGTGACTAATTTCCAAGCTGCCTTTCCTGTAAATGGAACTATGTGATTAGTTTGGGCCATATGACATGAACAAATACGACGTGGTATGTCTCTTCCAGGCTGGAGAGCTTACATAAAAATACAGTGATGTGTTTTCTCCATACTCTCTTTACTTTTGTAGAGACCTTGGAGGCCTCTGTTATAACATCACAAACTGCAGGTGGCCTAGATGCCTGAGGTTTAGAAGACAGCTGCCCAGAGGCATCTGATAAAGAGGATCTACAGAGTCTGTATAAGCAAGAAATAAACATTTACTAAAATAGACTATTGAAGGCTGACATTGTGCCTCAGTGATAGAGCGCTTGCCTAGCATGTGTGAGGCACTGTGTTTGATTCTCAGCACTCCATATAAACAAATAAATAAAATAAAGGTCCATCAACAACTAAAATATATATATTTTTTAAAAATAAATAAAACAGACTACTGAGACTTGGGAGCTATTTGCTAGACTGCAGTATAATTATCTAGGGATGATAGAGTTATAATGTGTTTTACCTTTTCCATTTTATATTTGTATATTTTCCTTTTATATTTGTATTTTTACATGAAAAGAATATTTTTTTTTTCATTTTGAAAAATAAGGAAAGTAATTATTATGGGAGGAAAAGTAGGCCAATGATTTAATCTCTCAATATCAATAATCTCTCTCTTACTTTTTATGACTATAAAATTTACCAATTTCCAAACATCTTCTTTAAAAATGTTTTCTCATCACCAGGTTGCAGTCGTGCAAACCTGCAATCCCAGCTACTTGGAAGGCTGAGGCAGGAGGAGGATTGCAATTTTGAGGCTAACCCGAGAAGCTTAGAAAGATGCCCATCTCAGAATAAAATTTAAAAGGTCTGGGGTTGTAGCTCAATGATAAAAGTACTCATCTAGCATGTGTGAGGCCCTGGGTTCAATCCACAGGATCTAAAAAAAAGTGTTTTTCCTCTTTCAGGTAAAATTATCTAAAAATGCTAATAAGTTATCTGCCACATCTTGAACACAGTATCACAAACACAGTATCACAGCTCAGATGCACATGTCATTTTTTATATATTGATCACCTAGATGCATGACAACCATAAATCAAAAGGATATAAAGATCCCAGCAGATGTGAATCTCAGAAAAATTACAAAACACAGAAGCTTTTAACCAGGTAGCACTCATTAGTTGTGCTTTTCTGTAAAGCACACAAACAAAACAAGAGCAAAATCTTTTGAATAAAATTAGCTTTTAACCCTACAAATTCACTATTTTATTCCCTTATCTCAGCCATTATGGCACAAGTGTAGCATAAATCTGCAATTCTCATCAATAAGTACGCACTTCACAATTCTAGTTCTACTGGATATAGGTGGCCCATATCACTAGCTCTGATGCAAAGAATGTGTAATACAATCAATGTATGTAACTTCTAGGCTGAGCCAGTCGAAACCCCAGAGGAACACTGCACCAATTTTCATCTCTTGCCTCAAAGAATGTGGAAAACTACCATTGAGATGATAGAGTCAAGATGTATCCTTGAATCATGGTTCAAAGCAAGCTGCCTGAAAACCTGTGAGGTATGGAGAAGGTGGCTATATATTATTAACACTGATATTTCTGAGTTGGTTTGTTTGTGAAGCACAGTCTATCCTAGCCTGACTAATACAACACCTTCAAACTTCCTTAGTGCTTTCTAGTAAGCCCTAAAATAAAATCTTTCATGTCACAGACCAATATTTAAATTCATGAAAAATGATAAAAACAAGATAACTTATTTATGTACCTTCTTTTTCTCTGTCAACTACATTAAAGAGGTCTAAATGTCATTTATTCATCTGAGGGAAATACATCCAAGAATTATCAGAAATCAGCTTCTTTGCCTTGTGTGTGCATGTGTGTTCACGTGTATTAATGCTCATGACCACGCCCATGCACACAAGTTAAATATCCTAGATTTGCATATTAAAAGCAACAGCACTCGGTGCCAAGAAAGATTGCGTATTATGCAGAATCTTAATAACTACAATTAATAGAACAAGGAAAAATGTTAGCATAACTCCAGCTGGCATCTTAAACTACTGGGCTAAGTCTATCAATGCAAACATGTAAGTTAATTGCTAATATATCTCACTTAGCTGAATAAGCCAGTATGTTTGGAATCCAAATTATTCATCTCTGTGCTGCCTCAGTGAAGCTGGAGTATAGAGAAAGCACATACTTAGGTTTCCCAGGGTGAATAAAACCATTTGTATTTGCCCTTGGTTTTGATGTATTCCTAAAGATATGTGAACCCTATTTAAAACAGCTCCTAGGTCAATAAAAATCTATGACACACATATTCAGATATATATATAAGACTACATTTTCCAGCTTGGCACTGCATACATTCTAAGAATATAATCGCATGCCTTTCTCACCACCCAGGAGTTGTGTTTGTGTCCTTAACTGTTGGCATTGAAACAGTGATATTTCAGGATTGATGGGAGGAATAAGAGTAGAAGGGGAGAAACTCATATTAGAATCACCAAGGGAAAATTTCAAACTATCTCACATCCTCACCTTCACTTGAGGAGTCTGCTATGCACCTTGGAGACTTGAGACCCAGTGGGGTGTGGAGAGGAGAGTACAGGTGGTAGGGGCCTCTGTCATCCTGCTCCACCCCACATCTTTTCCCATTTGGAACTTCTAAAAGGAAGAAAAACACATTTTTTTTTTTAAAGAAGGCAGACTCCTGACAGAACAAGTACAAACAAAATATTCAGCAGAGCAGTTTCAGTGTTCCTGAGATGGAACCAAATGTCTCTTGATCATTCTCCCTCACACCTTTGTTACCTCAGAACAGAACGAGTTGTTCTGACTTTCTCACTTGACTCTCACAGTCCAGGTAGCAGAGTGTCTCCAAAACTGACTGGTGCTAAAGGAACTGTGCTGAAAGCCTGTTGCTGATGGCTTGATGAGGACTGAAGCTACATAGAATTTAAGACTATTGTCTAAATATAATATTCTATATTCCACCCACAAACTTTCTTTTCTTCACATAATTTTGCTCACTCATTAAAATAAATTAACACATGCCTATTGTACACTGCATAATATCAACACTTGTCAGAAATATTTAATTTAATTTGAATCAGTTGTATGATTTGACTCTCAGCCTTCATTGTAGATTTAACCTCAAAAATACATTGAATTATACCTCCCACCTCTCTCTACCTCTGTTATCTCTCATATGAGAGCAATTGTCAGTTTCTTTATCACCCACTTGTTCAGACTATCACCCAAGATTTTTCCAACTCAAATCTCATCATATTATACCCTGGTTAAAACCTATTATTTCTGCATGGGTTTTAAGACAAACATCTAAACTTCTTAGCTTTGCAAACAGAACTTGCACAGTTACAATCTCAAGGCATGTACTCCCAGATGAATGCAGTTTTCTCTGATCTCATTAAACTCAGTTTTGAAAATTATTCCTGAATAAATCAGAAATGTTTGTGATTTTACATATTCTATATGTGATGCTTACAATTCCTTCTCCAATTTCTTTACTAAAAAATGAAATAAATTCCCCTATTGTTTCTTCAAGAGTCAATTTATGAACTAACTTTTTTTTATCATCTTGGA